CACCTGTACTTGTCCAGACCTCCTGAATGTGGCCAGGGCGCATGGGGTTGGAGGATCGCATCGCATCGCCGATACGTCGCTGATGCGGCGTGATGTGGAACTCGATTTTCTTCGCCCCAGCATCGCCGATGCGATTCGATCTTCGGATCCTAGGAACATGTATCCTGGCCCCACTTGGGAAACCTCCAGCCTGGCGGCTACGTGTCGCACCCGTGAGAATGCAGGATTGGAATACGTCAACTCTGCCGGCGCCAAGAGATTAGGAGTGCACTGTAGAGAGGATGAGTGTTCAAAACGTTTCAGGCTAATGCGCCAGTAACTGTTTAGTTCCAGTGCGGCGCTGCAGAAGGCAGCAAATGACTCTGCGCATGAGTGAACAACTTATGTTTCTAGCACGCGGGCTGGAGACTATTCCTGTTGATTTCATCAACAGGTCACAACGCCTCTGTCTATCCCCTCCTCCATCTGCTGCGCTCTAAGTCAGCAGGAGGAGCCTAAGTACAATCGAACTTCCGGGTCTGGGCCAGAAAGTTTCCCTTCTCAAGGGGTTGGCGCGAGAGCGCGAAGATTAATCGCGCTTCGCGTTTTCGCGTGGCGCGATATGCGAAGTTGAGTGACGCATAGAGCCATTTTCTTTCAGTCCTCATCCCGGCGGACGGACGCGACTTCGCTGCAGTTGAGGCGGATTGCTTAGGTTCGCTCCGTCATGTCGAAGGCTCTACATGGAATCTAGCTTTCTGGGTGCAGCTGGCGACGGCGAAGCAAAACAATTCATACCATCGACCTCAAATTTCTTCCAATACGGGAGGCAGGATGCTGGAATCTCATGGAATATCAAGTTTCCTGCCATGCCTCATTCTTCTACTCAAGGCTCTTATAGAGCACCTCCCCATCCTCCCTCCGCTTCACCCGCCGCCACTGCGGCGTCAACTTCTAGCACTGAGCAAGCCACGTTCTCGTGCTGGTGGTCGCCATGCCTCGAGAGCGTGCCGTCGTCATCATCACGAGTTCGGTGTCCCAGTTAGCTGCGACCGCTTGCTCCTGGAGCGGTGCAGTCGTCATCACCATCACCACCACTACAGTCCTGTTGAGCATCACCACCGTGGTCACCACCACGGGGGAAAAAAATAGATTATCCCAGTGCGACCCTACCTAGGAGTTGGAACCCCTAGGACAGCAGCATTAGTAGTAACAGTAACGCTAAGCTAAAGCTAAGCTAAAGCTAAGCTAAAGCTAAGCTAAAGCTAAGCCACAGCTAAGCTAAGGTTAAGCTAAAGCTAAGCTAAAGCTCAGCTAAATCTAAACTAAAGCTAAGCTAAAGCTAAGCTAAAGCTGAGCAACAGCTAAGCTAAAGCTAAGCTACAGCTAAGTTAAAGCTAAGCTAAGGCTAAGCTAAAGCTAAGCTAAAGCTAAGCTAAAGCTAAGCTACAGCTAAGCTACAGCTAAGCTAAAGCTAAGCTAAAGCTAAGCTAAACGCTAAGCGAAACGCTAAGCGAAACGCTAAGCTACAGCTAAGCTAAAGCTAAGCTAAAGCTAAAGCTAAAGCTCCCAGGGGACTGGGGGGAACCGCGGGGCGGGGACTGGGGGAACCGCCCGGGGCGCTTTGCACTGCCCGGCCCCTTTAAGCTAAGAGAGTAAGAACCCTTCTAGGCAGAGCCTAGGTAGGGAATAAAAAATATGCAAACACACACACACACACACAAAAAAACACAAAAAAACACAAAAAAGTACAAAACACACAAAACAAGCACACACACAAAAAATAAAAAACATTATTACCGTCCCCAGTATCGCCATCATCCGCGTCACCATTCCATCTCCACTGTGATCACCATCTCCGGCCCACACTCCTACCGTCGAGCACGCGGGGCTCTGCTCGGAGCCGCCGCTCTTCTGCGCTGCCCTCCGGCCCGCCACGTCTGCAAAATTAGCATTAGGTAGCCACGTCGGCCTCTCGAAATTTGTGTCACGCTCCGCGCCGCCGCGCGCGCGCGCCCGTGACTGGTCAGGGCGGCGCCTCGGCGATGAGGGGTACCCTCGCTGCGACCGCGCGGTGGCTCCCCCGCCTTCCCCCTCCTGGGGGGCCCGAGGCCTCCACCTGGAGGCGTCCCCTGAAAGGCCTCGCCCTCTGGAGACGTCGTGTGGTGGACGTTGGTCGGTGCTTCGCGAGTTGCCTCCCCTGCCCTTTCCGCCCGTCTCCAAGACAAGAAGAGCTGGCATCGCCCTCGAGGGGTCGACGGAGCCGGCGGCTCCCCCCCCCGGCGGAAGGCGGCGGACGTAGAGCGGGGCCGCCTCCGCTGGCGGATGGCGGCTGAGGGCCGACGGAAGTGGAGGGTGATCCCCAAGAGATGGCGATCAAAGAAGAAGAAGAAAAAGAAAAGACGCCATGAGCATAAACTGTTGGCGCTCCTCGCGGATTTCTTGGATCTGCGCTGGGCCCACCACAGCGAGGCCTCCGCCGCCGCCCCTGGCGCGCGCGCTCCGCGCGCCAGGGAGGGGG